CTTGATGTGAACGAGCATTTTGGATAAAGTTGCGCATGCGCTATGAGCGCACATACGGGTACTTCTCAGGCATGCCGGGTAATCTGTGACGTTTCGCTCTCTCAAAAGTTGGGCCATTTTATCTTCATGCGCCAATGAGCAACTCTCATGGGAATGAATGAGGCCCCGCCTCCCACGCTGTATCCAGTTCTTATTATACATCCATGTGCTGAGTACCTCTCTTTTAACTATCCCTGAATTGTTGTGTTATACTCATGAGTTCCAATAAAACAAAACTACATTATTCTTAGTTTACACTTTTTTTAAAAGGTTTTTGAAAAACAGACAATTTTACTGAGCAATTCATCTGAATCCAGGGTTAAATTTCATCATCTTTCAACACCAATTCTGATGCATTTTATGGGTCATATAGGAAACACATTTGACAGTATTTAGTGGTCTCTTTTATTGTAAACATATCCTTAATGAAACAGACACTGGCTTTGTGTTAGCCTCTACAACCCAAGAGGAACCTCTTCTATTATATTCTTTCCACAACCAGGGGCATGTAAGTCATTGTTCCGAAACTTTTGCTGCTATAATCTATATAGCCAGTTAGCAGGGCCATTATTTCCTGCAGTGTGTTCATCACTTGTGACAGGCTCATTGCAGAGCAGCAGGACCCTGCCTGACATGCCTTACTGGGGGAACAAAAGTCCCTCAGGCTTGTCACTGCAAGACATTTTAGTTGCGAGGGCTGCACATTCTCAAGCCCGAAAAGCAAATGACAAAGCAGGATGATTATTTTTTTCCATGATGATGTATCACTTCCTCGGCAGACATTTCTGTTGTACCTCTAATTAGCTAACTTACTCATCCTTTTGTGAAGATGGAACCATTGTTTGTGTGAGTGACAGGCAGGCATACATTAAAAGGAGGTGTTGGGTAAGCGGGGGATGGGAGCCATGCAGTTATACAATAAGAAGGTCGTAGATTATTGAAAGGAGAGCTTTTGATTGGTTTGGATATATCTGGGTCTTAACTCACCTCCAAACTTCTTCTTCCAGTTGCAGGGGATCTTGCAGCGTTGGGTCTTGATGGTCTGCTTGCAGTCGGTGCCAGTGCGTGTTCCCTCCCTGGTGCCGAGTCCACAGTCTCCTTCGTTGGCTACACACACGCTCCACTGCCAATCGCCACAATCTGACTTGCGTTCTTTCTTTCCTGTAAGACCAAACATACAACAGTTATGTAACCTTTTAACAAGACAAGACACATAAGTCTCACGTCTACAGCTCTGCATATACCAGCAACTTTAGATCCTTTGTTTTTTATTAAAACAAGAAAATTGCGACTTGCGGTGTCTATGAAAGTATATGTCACCTTCTTGGACTTTTTATATTATTACAAGGAAGATGTAATGAGTTTATTGCTTCTTCTTATTACCAATAAAAAAAGATATATCTTATATTTGCTTAATGTTGTTTTCTCTACCCAAGTGGGAATTATCTGACTTACGTTGCCTTTCCTGAAAGATATTGCTATTTATTTATTGTACATTCTCAAAGGACACCAATTACTTCAACTCAAAGGCTTTTATTCATTATATCTTTAAGACTTGTATCCAACGAAAGTATTTCACAGTGCAGCCTTTTCGGCAGTGATATATAGTGAAATATATGTCATTCAATAAGGAAATGACAATGTTATATTCTCCATCATAAACAAGTTGTAGATGTGATGTTATACTGAACATCATGGTGATCCTGTTTGATATACATTTTCAGTTTAAAGGAACACACAGATATAGATTATTTCTATAGATTTTTCTACAGTTGAAGAATCTGAGCTTTGCAAATTTCACCTTGTTTCTCTGCTTTGCCTCCTTCTCCTGCCATTACTGTGATCACCAGGAGTGCCATCACGGCCACCCGTGTCCACTGCTTCTGTCCATTCATTCTGAAAAAACAAGACAATTGTTAATAGAGAACGCTGCTTTACTTTCACATATTCACACATCTTCTACAATTGAAAACACACATTTGAGATCTTCTTGTGCCTAAACTTGACACGTTAAGCTAGTACCTGCTAGACCAGGAGGAAGAGGAGGAAAGGAGAATTTCCATCTTTCATCTGGTGTCATTTTCCCCGTGCTGGATTCCAATAACATTGTGATAGTCTGAGCTGCCACTACACTGTCAGTCACGGCAGTATTTGCTGTCAATCTCTGTATTTGTCAAAGCTCAACAAAAGATATTCTGTGATTGAAGCCGAGTAAACCCCTTGCTCAAAAAATAAGATTGAGGCTACAATGTTGCAACATGTCATAAAAAAGAAACCTTTGCTTTGATTATACAGAAGTAAAAACAAACATTCTTTACTTATATTTTATTTTAAAACTATATTCTGAATGTTGATTGGAAATGTTTTAAGGAATGTTAAGTATTGATGCTTATATTGGCATTGAAGGTGTGCTGAGGCATTTTGACCACTATTAGTGCTGTGGAGCAATGTGGGTCCCCATTTTGTTTGTTTAAATAATGGGTCCCCACTTTGCGCATAAACTAGAATGCAAGTGTACATACTGTATACTAGTTGGACACGGTTCGAATACCTGTCAAAGGTTTCACATTATTCAAACGATCAATATGTAACAATTATGACTCAAGGAACGCAACAATGTGGCCAATGAAGAAGAATACTTCTAGCCATTAAACAGCTGATGTAATGTAACTTATGTCAATGTCAGTTTTACATCACTACAGCCATGGTTGACAAGGGACTCCGTTTTCAATGCGACAGCAATCCCTGGCCTCATTTTACCTTTGATTAAAAAAATGTTTGAGTTCCGCACTGAATTATACAGATCTTTTTTTTTTTTAAATAGAGGGTTTTGGTATCAGATTTACACCTGAACTGAGGTGTCAGACTGTGTTCGGGAGGAAATGTTGCATCGTGCCATCAATCATTTTACAAATGTTCAAAGAATGATACAGTATGAAAGTGTTCTTTAAAAAACGTGATGCTATATATAAAACTGATGTTGAATCCAACATTGTAGACGTTGTAGATGGATAATATGTTTGAATCAGTATTCAGAAAGCTGACAAAAGATTCCTTGGCAGGTAGTTTGAGAAACGTGTTAAGTTGACAGAGGCTTACTGAATTCTATAATGGTTGTTCAAGAAAAGATTACACCTGCCGCCAGAAAGCGACAAAAGAGCAAGAAGACTGGGATCAAATTCCCATTGTGGAACGAGTTGTCACAGAAAAGAATGTCATTAGTGTCTTTGTTTGCTCGTAGCTGCTGACATCTTTTTTTAACAGGTTTTAAAAAATCAATCATCCTCCATACAATTAGAATCACAAGTTATTTTAATATTTGATCCACCAGCTGCTTCCTGATTTCCAGAAAGCACTAATTGTCACTATCACCAGCCGTATTCACTGTGATTGAATTGTTACAGAAAACCAACCCTCTTTGACTTCCCTTTTTGCGAAACAGAGAGACATACTCTTGCAGCCAACACTTTCTGAGAGGAGTGAAAGCATGAGACTGAACCAATTACCAAGTGTTGACACCAAAATAATGCTCCTCTGTGCTCAAATTCCTGTAGAAAGGTTGATCCTTGTGGAGAAAAAGCATCCATTTGTCATTTTTAATTAAACATGAGTTGCCTCTGAGTCCCCCATCTCATTGTGTAAGCAACCTGCAATTCCAACTTTTCATTTTACTTACTTATGACTTTACATAAGTTCAGTCTCAGTGTCTTTTAAGCCTCTAGAATTGAAATCAGGTATTCAAACCTTGTATTTAATTATGGGCTGTTATTGTGCTGATTCCACCAAGGATTTAATGTCTACCAGCACTTCTTAGAAACTCATAATGGGCCTTATGGCATGTGTCTGTAGTCTACCTGCTATGAAAAGTCATCTGAATCCTTCACATGATTGACTTTATATTTCTCTGGCTATGGCAGCGTGCAGGCAAACCCTGTTTTGATTAAATACTTCAGACTCCATCTCAGAGTTTTTTTAATGTTTACTCTTTTTAAGAGATTCAAAAGTATTCATTTCCAAAACCCCAAAAAAAGAAGGAATAAATTATTGATTCCCAACTGTAAGAAGCGCATACAATGAGTTCTAAGAGTTTCAGAGAGAAAACCCAATGAAAGCTTCCTGATAAAGATCATTTTCCAAGAGAAAGGCATTGTTACTTTTCAAAAGATAAGAAAACCTATTCCTCACACACACAGTGATGGGCTCCTGGTGCAGTGCAGGCATCAAAATGGACTTGGTTGAAGACTTTGAATGAGGACTCCATAGAATTGCTTAGAGAAAGAAAAGTCTTGGAATTAAAGTGAATTACCTTTTTCTCTGCAGTGAGGTTTCCCCTCATCTTGAGGTTAATAAATCAAATGAAAGTCTCTCACAACCTTGTAGCTCACATTTCCAGAGCATGACAGCAGGTTTAATGGATCGGAGCATTTGAATATCATGAGGCAAGGAATCTGTGATGCCTATGTAATGCTTTGATAATAAGGGATTGACAATTTAAAGGACATCTACTTGTGCTTTTCATTAAATGCTTTTCCTCTCTTTTTATTCAATACACAAACAGTCAGACATAACTTCAGCTCAACGTTTCGTGACAGAGAAAATATATATTTTTTGTAGGGCCGGGACTCGATTAAAAAAATTAATCTAATTAATTAGAGGCTTTGTAATTAATTAATCGAAATTAATCGCATTTTTAATCACATATAAATATTTGACCTGAGAACAGTGAGAAGCAATTTTTTTCACATGGATTTTAGTATACCATTGAATAATGACTGAATACATAAGCTTAAGCAACAAAACATTGTTCATTTTTTTCAAGGTGTTACTTCACCAAGACCAACAGAAAAGTGCAATTTTTGCCATAAAGTGTAGCAATAGCATATTTAGGAATATAGTACATTTCAGAGATTCAGGTAGCCTATAGGTAGGTAGACCTTCTGTAAACTATAACACTTTGTTTTTTAAGTAAAACACAATACTTTCAAGTACATTCAGAACATTGGAAACCCTGACTATTAGAAAACATCTCTCTGTTGCTTCAGAGGCCATAACAGACTTTGTTGATTTACCAACAGTTGATTTAAAAAATCTAATCAATTTCAGTCCAACTCTCTCAATAACCTTGGCCAAAACAATAAACAGTCCAACATAAAGTGCCAGTTGCACCAACAACATAATAAATAGTTCAACATAAAGTGTACCATTTAAAATAAAATAAA